AGAGAGACAGAGAGACAGAGAGACAGAGACAGAGAGAGAGACAGAAAAGGGAGATACGCAAGTACAGCTAGGCGAGTCGGCGAGCCGTTCGGACCCCCGCAACTCGAATGCAGGACGCTACCGCTCCGAGAGTTTGCGGGGGTTGCAAAAAGGAATCGAACAAGCGGCGGAACGATTTCCGAACGCAGCGCTGAGGGGGCGGCGCGGCGTGCGGCGTGCCGAACAGTCCCTGTCCACGCCACGCCGCGCCACGTCACCCGGCGCCACGCCGCGCCATACTTCCCCATTGTACCGCGCGCGAAAACTGCCCGCAGGGTGTTCTGCCGTTCAAAACGCCCAGCTGTCTCGCCGCCGGGTCCGAAAGGGGTGGGGGGAAAAGAGATGACGCTCTCCGATTATCGTTTCCCAGAGAAACTCATCAATCGTATTGGAGTTATATAGCGGCGCTGCGCTCTGAATGGAGCAGGTGGGCAGGCGGGCGGGGCCGGTAATGGCCCTGTTCCGTCGCACTACTTAAAGATGGTTCGTTCGTAACTGAGAGCCCCGATCGATGAGCGCCGCACAGCACCGATTTTTCCGAAGGCTAACCGCTTTCTTCTCTGTTGTTGTTGTCCATAGAAATTACGTAACGATGCTCACCTGTAGCCCGTGCTCTCGGAGCTGCTCTCGCATACCTCCAAATGCCTCCTCTTCCCCAATCCTTCACCAAGATCCCGGCCAGCCCCCCCCCCTCCCCGTACTCATCAAACCCGAGGAATCGTCAACTCCCTTCGCCCGTATACAAAGGGATATTATAACATATTACCGTGGTAGCGTAATATACAATCAATATTAGCGCAATGCTGTAATATAGTATTACCACTCCAAGGAAAAAAAAGAACTTTGTTGTGGGGATCAACTCTGTTTGATAGGCTAAATTTGATTGCTGAAATCGAGAATTCGTTTGATCTCCACCACAACAATGTCCTTTTTTTCGTGTCATACTTGTAAAATTTCTGTCATATTTTCACTAGGGAAAGGGCTCCTCATATAGAATCAGCTTTCCTGCAGTCGTTTGGGAAGGCCAGTTGCTAAAGTCATGAGGCCGCCCTTTCCGTCTCTTCTCACCCAGTTCTTACCTCGCTCGCTGATCCACAAACGCGCCCGACATCTTCTCGCGCCGCGACCTCACCCAGAAAAATCCTCTCTTATTTTAAGCAAATTGCTCTTGTTTCGAATATGTTTTTCGAATATGAACAATTTAGTTATTCGAATATAAGCTCGAATATAAGTGACCTCATTTCATTGATACATTTCGCATTGTGTCAAGAGAAAATTGAACTTGTCTTGTGCAAACCCAAGTACAAAAATATACTTGACCCAAGAAATGTTTTTCTGAGTACGTGACTCGCGTTACAACATGTAACCGATCCCCCCGTTACAAAATAGTTCCGGCGCCTAGTGCGAATTACCCGGGCCAGGCGGGCGGCCACCGAGGCCCACCTCGGCGCGCGACACAATACAACTCATCCGGCGCCTATTCATCATCATCAACATCATCGTCGCCGTCGTCTCGATAATAAACAGTGACACTATTGCTCCGAAATTACCCTGGGCCCAAAGTAGTATGGTGTTTCGGGGGCTCCCCCACCACCACCTGAGCGACGTATCGATGGTGGTGTACGTACCGCCGGGAGAGGGAGTCCCTATACACGACGCTGGTCGTGTGCCCCCCCCCCTCTCGTCCCCCCAGACTCCGGCGGCCGGATCTAGCCGGCGCCCCCTCCTCGCATCTGCAGCTGCAGCGGCGTCCCATCCCGAGCCCGCGCGCTCCGCGGCGCTCTGCCCTCCGCGCCCGGGCGGCCGCC